GGACTTGAGGGAGGACAGACGATGGGGCATTACAGTCAGGCCACCGCAGTGAATGTCATCGCAGAGTTTCAATACAATCAGTGGTAACACAAACGATGTCCGAATTTTAACATGAAGTCATTAAGGGCATCTGAATGTTGGCTAAGTGCCGAAAAGTGACCTTCAGACCCTCTCAAATCATTCAACATCAGCAGAGCACGGTATCATGGTTTCTTCAGTCGCAATATCAAACACTCCGACATTGCCTTTGATAAAGTGGTGGTAAACGCTGTTGACTCGTCAACTGGTACAGCGTTACTACCCGAGCACGATCGAATGAATTGAGATTGGGCACTGCGTCGCACATGCGCATTCGCTGTTACGAATCCACCATGGACGAGTATTGTGATATCCACGTCTGGACATCAACGCTGGTCGAGGAGGTGCTCATTCACCAAATCACCACTTTAAGTCGAGCGTAACTGCAGGTTCAGGTGAAGTTGTCGAGGGGATGTTGTTGACACGCCAAGGTGGCTTGCGGGTGTTTACTGCTCGCGGTGCCAACTACGTTGTGGTGGTTAGAGCGGCAGACCATGCAATACGATCGAAGATCCGTACGAGTGACGTTCACCTTGTCGACACTGCCGCTTCTGTTGGGCCTTGGCAAAAGGCCTGCTTCCTTTTGAATGCACGCATCTGGTCCACTAATGTGCCTTCCAACACCTAATGTGAGGCGCCTGAACACTGCAATGCGTGCAGTTATGACATCCCCTGTCTGTCGGAGGATGTGGGCGTTACACGGCGCTTTTTATTCACAATAATTGCCCACTTCGTTTGCGTAAAGCGAAGCTGAAAGTGTAAGAGAAGTGACAATGTTGGAGAAAATGGACTGGACTGTTTTGCTGCATTGGTTAGGTAGGCGTCTCGGATATTATTGGTTAATGGCGGCGGGTGGTAATGTTCGTGGTTCCGCCGTCAAGGCTCTTCAGAAGGAATTCAAGGAACTAGCCGAAACTCCAGTTGAGGGATTCAAAGTTACCCTAGTTGACGAGTCGAACTTATTTGTGTGGGATGTAGCAATTTTTGGCCCTCCGCAGACACCCTACGAAGGCATACGCGGCAAGCGGAACATCTAAAAACTAGACTTATTGAGATTTATCACGG